TGTCTGGCTTATTTCCACTCAGTGTGATGACCTCCAGACAAACTGAACTCTAGATGACATCATTCAGATATGACAAACCATCTTGCTCTTCTCTGGGTGATCCGATTATGAGAATCAATAAATGTACTTATTTTAAAAGATAGTTTCATCTGGACTTTCCATTATTTATGAATTTAAAGTACCATGGATTGTACAGAGGGCCTTGAAACGAATAGGATTTCAATTGGTAGGGAAATGGAGGAGACAAAATAATTCCAAATAATAGGAAAGGCTTAAGCAAAACATTAAGAATTTTAAAAAATGTAGCATGTGTCTATTTGTGTGTGTGGGTAGTGGGTGGCTGGGGAGAGTAGAGATACAAGGAATCTGGGAGGTGTTTGTAGGGGAAGATATTCTACTCCTACATGCTGTGTTCAGCTGTGGAAGAGAGAAAGGAAATGTGGAGGAGAAAGAAGAGTGTTTATCTAGTGACAACTCCAAATCATCAGTTGCATTGAATGACTGACACTGGTGCATACAGAGAGAAAATTGATAATGGCTTTTACATACATGATTTTCTTAATAAATTTGTGATAAATTGACTAATTTCATGAAGCCCATTTCATTTATGTATATAGTATGCAAGCTTGTTAGTGCAACTATGCCATTTCTAACGGAAGTGTTTCCATTTTAAAAACTCTATTGTGGGGAAACATGAATATGGAGAAACCATAACTATCCCTATTAAGAAGAGATACAAGCTAATTCACTCTTTTCAGAAGCAACTGTCTTTTCCTTGTGTTTTCTTAGAATTAAGTGGCTTCTTAGGTAAAACAAAAGAGATTTATCTACAGGAGTCCTAGGCGAGGTATTACATATATGCGTATCTAGTATTTTTATATTTAATTGGTAGCTTACACAGGATACTGTTATCAGGAAGATTTGCAAGCTAATTTAAAAAAATTCTACATCTTTTTTCCAAGATATTTCAAATTTTATTAAGGGTATGATGAGATGCTGAGAATGAATGTTCAAATATTTTTTAACCAAAAGAAATATAGTGTGTCAGTAGCATTTTTCTATAGAGAAAAGAATGAAAAAGGGACAATAAAACTATGGAAGCCAACTTCAGAATGAGTATGTCCTTAGAAAAGGAGCTTCAAAAAAGGAAAGAAATTTCACTCAAATCAGTTTTTAAAAGGATAGTACTAAAAAGGGCCTGGCGTGCTAGTCTAGCAGCTGAAGTCCTCACCTTGTACATGCTGGGATCCCATATGGGCCCTGGTTCTAATCCCAGCAGCCCTGTTGCCCATCCAGCTCTCTGCTTGTGGCCCAAAGCCTTGGGACCCTGTACCCATGTGGGAGACCCGGAAGAGGCTCTGGGCGCCTGTGTTGTGCCTTAGCATTGGCTCAGCTCTGGCCTTGGGGAATGAATCAGTGGACGGAAGATCTTCTGCTCTGTCTCTCTCCTCTCTTTATATGTTTGACTTTCCAATAAAATAAAAAAAAAATATATAGAAACAAAAGGATAGTACTAAAACATCCTCACAATGCATTTCGTTATGTCCTTGTGTTAATCATCATCAGGTCAAGATGCAGAATTTCAAGGACTGGTATGAGAAGGCAGGCTCAGGTTTCTCTTACCAGTTTTCTTCTTGCTTCAAAAGAATACATCCAACAATTACTCTTTAAATACAAAATGCTTGTGGAAGTAGTCCTGGAAAAGTGTTACTATTAATCACCTTCATTTCAAGGTCATCTGCTTTGATTTGAATGTTGTCACCTCTAAAACTCATATTAAAATTTAACTGCCATTGTAATAACATTTAAGGGGTGGCAGCTAAAGATATAACTGAGCCAGGATGGCACTAACCTCACAAGTGAAATGGCTGCCTTTAGAAGGCAGTGAGTGTGGCACCTTCTTGCTTTCTTTTCCCTTTGACCCGTCCACCTTGAGATGATGCAGCCAGAAGGTTCTAACATGATGATGACCTCTCAATCTTGGTTTTCCCAGACTCCACAACTGTGAGCCAATAACTTTACAACTATTACAAATTAACCAGCATTTTATTATGGTGGCACAAACGTATTCAGACCCTATCCTTAAAGTTTATTTAGAAATAAAATCAAAAGAAAGCAATGTCAGGCTTAGATTATCATCAACCTATGTAACTTTGTTTACTTCTTAATTTTTTTTTGGCTATTATTTCTAGGCAAATTAGCAGAATGACAGCTATTATGTTAAAGTACTACATCTAGGCTAAATGTGATATAAGCAATGTTTTATTTTTAACTTGGAGCTTTGGGATGGCTATGGAATGCATATACTATTGTAAAAATAACAGTGTGAAAAAAATAGATTCAAGCTGATCATTTCTTTATTAATTTATTATTTTTTACAATCTTGACATAATTAGGGTAAAAAGGTTCAAGCACTACAGGAAGATGGGTAAGACAATACGTTCTGTATTGTTTCCTTAATACATCTGATGTAAAAGGAGATTTTAAGGGAGAAGCCCCACCCAGTCTCCCAACCACCCCAGATCCCAGATGTGGGGCATGCTCCGAGGGTCTTGCTCAAGTGGTTCTGATAATTCAACAGTTGTGAATTGCTGCCACTCTCACCATTCCAAGCACGATGCAGTTGTTGAAGATTCCACTGATTGACATAGTCCGTCATAATGTCTCTGTTTGCCCAGTATTTTCATTGCCAATATATAGCTGAGGTGGTTGATTGACTTGTTCTGTCTTCTGTCATTTGATGGTTAGTGTTCTGAGTCCAAAAGCTCGATTGGGGGGATCCCCAAAGAAACTTTGTCTGAGGTGTTCCTAGACCAGATTCTTGTATGTGCTGGAAAGCACAGGGCCCAGCACAGTCCATCGCCCTGATCAGCTGGTGGTCGCAGTTGCTGGGTTTGTTCTGTTTCCATCCCTGTCTTCCACTAGAACCAACAGGTGTTTGCAGTCCAGCCTGGTTCTGCCCAGCACATGCTCGGCCCTCATATAAACCAGTGGGAGCTGCAACCTAGTCGGAGAGACCCATAATAACCCCCACCTGGCCCGCCCCCTACCCTGGTTTGCCAGTATGTGCAGCAGACTAGTCCAGGCTGTCCCACATTCCCTTCTGCTCTCATACATGTCAATGGGTATTAAAACCTTGTGCCATCTAACAAGCTCAACTATCCAACCTTCATGGATGTTGTTGGGTGTCTCTCAAACCACCCCAGCCCTGGCCCTAGTTTTCGTGCCCTTCCGTGGGGGGTGGTAACCCAAGAAGGAGGAGCCCACTATTTTCCTCCCAGGCCTCTCCCACTCCTGGATTATGCTCTTTCCAGGTGGTTCTGTGGTTTAACTTGACAGAACTAGCCCCCAGTGCCAGCTTCTGCCAACTGATGATGTGGCTAAGCCTCAACCACCCTCACCCACTCTAATTGTAGATTGTACCAATAGGGATAATCAGCCCAGCCTGGTTTTTCCCTGATCTGGTCCACATGAGACCCCAGGTGTTGTAGCTCTGCCTAGTATGGTATGGTATACCCCCAACCCACGCTCTCCAGGGGGAGTAGCTGTTCAGCTAGGGAACCACCCCTTATTCTCCCAGCCGGTTCTTCCCCTCAGCTTCCTGGTTCTCACACATGTGTTGGTTGGGTGCTGCGGTCGCATCTGGCTCAGGCTACCTCACCTTGGCATTCTGTGTTGTGCACTGTTTTTATCGCGACCGAACCTGGCTCGACCCACACTCTGTTCTGGCATTTGGATTTGCAATGTGAACTGATTCAGCCTGGTCTGCTCCTGACCCATACCAAATGTATGCCAGTGGGACACTTTCCATGACCTCTTGGCTGTTCTCTATCATGCTTGCTGCTTTTACCTGCAGGGACTGTGTCCTGCCAGAGGAGCTGCCCAGGCTCCTCCATCAGAACCCCTCCACGTGCCAGCTTTCGTGGGTCCATGAGCCAGCCTTACTCAGTTTGCCTCCTGTCCTAGCAGCAACAGTGGCTTTTCCTGACTGGCCTTCAACCCAATCTGGTTCTTACTGTTGGATGTTTCAGCCCAGCCATGGCTTGTCCATACCCACATACGGCTCACATATGGCTCAGTAGGGGTTGAGACCTTGTCTAGTCTGTCTCACATCTACTCTGGTCCTCCAGAACACCAGAAGGTGTTAGAGTCTGGCCCGGCCTGGAGCGTCTTGTCCCAGTCCACACTTGTGCCAAGGGAGACTACAACTGTATCCTGATCAGAACACAGCCCCATTCCAGCTCATGCGCCCCTTGGTGGGAACCTCCACCCAGCTAGGGTGTGCCCTTAGCCCCCCAACTGAGCCTGTTCCCAGCCATAGATTGCACACATGCCAGTGGTTGCTCTGACTCAGCTTGGCTCAGCCCCTCACCTGTCGCTATCCCTGCTGTAATGAGGAGTAAAGGTAAGGCAACAATTGTGGAAATTAAAGTTGAGCTTTTAATTGTGTGCAGTGTGTATATTGTGAGAAACAGAAAAATAAGAGACGGAGGGAGAAACAGAAAGCAACACAGTAGCTATTTTCATGCATAATACATTGCAGGAAATTAATGTTCACTCTTTAGGATAAATTATATCCCTTCAGGGTGCAAATTCTAAACATTAGAGAATACTAAAAGAAAAAATTATAAAGCAATTTGATTGCAAAATCAAAGTCTTACATTCTAAAAAGTTACAAGTTCTAATTAAAATGGTTTTTATACTTATTTTTGCTTTATACTTATTAATGATTCTCCTGCTGGCATAAAATTAGTTGCAAGTATTAAAAGTCCAAGTTATTTTTCTATAGTGTTAATGACTATTGTACTCAGTACAAGAAGAAGATGAATTCAAATTAAGAAAAATTAATAAGACTTTTCAAGCTCAAGTTAATTTATATACAATGAATTTTCCTCTTGATCACAAACTTATTGAATAGCATCCAGATTGCCAAGAGACTAAATCAAAAGCAAACTGTATCTAGTCACTGAGGAGGTTGAGAAGGGAAGAACCATCTATACCTGGATACTGGTCAGAGTTGTGTACTGGTATGCCTTGACCACTAGGTAATTGGCTTCTAGGTCTATCAGTCCCAGGATCATATATTTCCACCATCTTCGTCGCAAAATTGCCAGAAGGTTTTCTTCTCCTGTGTTGTAAAGTGAAGAAGAAATTGGTTAAGTTCTTGACATTTTATCAACTACGTATTTAGAAGGCTTCTAAAATAATGAAGATTATACTTTAACTATAACATTCCCAAACATTTAACCAAGTGAATCACTATATTAATGACTCACATGCATTTATTTAACAAATGCTCTTCTTTGAAGATTTTTGGCTTTGTGAACTACTTTCTATGCCAGGGTAAGACTGGTCAAAATATGAACTCATCATTTTTTTAAAGATTTATTTTATTATTTTTTTATTGGAAAGGCGGATATACAGAGAGGAGAGACAGAGAGGAAGATCTTCCGTCCGATGATTCACTCCCCAAGTGACGGCCCATGCTATGCCGATCCGAAGCCAGGAGCCTCTTCCGGGTCTCCCACGCGGGTGCAGGGTCCCAAAGCTTTGGGCTGTCCTCGACTGCTTTCCCAGGCCACAGGCAGGGAGCTGGATGGGAAGCGGGGCTGCCGGGATAGAACCGGCGCCCATATGGGATCCCGGGTGTGCAAGGCAAGGACCTTAACCGCTTGTGCCACCGCGCCTGGCCCAAGCTCATCATTTTTTTATAAGAAAATATTTGCTTGTGAAGAAATGGGAGAAATATGATTACATCATGTAAAAATAAAAGGAAAGTTGCCTCAGCAATGCTGCATAAATACATATATTTCAAATCATCCCAAATTTCAGGATTGAGATAAAATAAAAATAAATGAAAAAAGATACAGTTAATAGCTTGGAAATAGGTCTGTAATATGGCTGAGGTGCCATGCTGATTGATCTTTCAGCTTTGAGCACTGCGTCACCTGATGATGTGTGGGTGACAGAGAGAAGATGGGAATGACCCTCATGTAGAAGGGAACGCCATTGGACTACAGTCTGAAATGTGCTAGCAACTGGCAATCTTCACCACCTTGTCTCTTAGTCTGATAGCATGCCAGTAGAAAGCAGATTGACTTTCTAAGTTATTCATCCTTATTTTCATGGGTATGTCAGCTCTGAAATAATCCTTACTTCTGAATGGGGTTAATCATAACAACTCTATGCAGCCAAATCGTGACTCTTCATGATAATGTGGAATTAATAGGTACTTGGAGGGAATGGTGGCTAGGTATGTTATTTATGCAGCAAAAACACATTATCCTCCACATAGCTGCTTAAAACAATACATATTTATTTTTCTACAGTATTTGTGAGTTTGCAATCCAAGTACGGTTTAACTGAGTGTGTCTGACTCAGGATTTTGAAATTATATGTAGTCAAGTTATCAGGCATGGATGAAAACTCATATGAAGGAGTGGTTGTGGAAAGATCTAAGCTCACTCACTAGTTGCTGGTGAAGTTTGGTTTCCACCATGAAGGAACTAACTTGAAAATTAGTTCCCCACATGCTGTCTCTTGTTGCTGGGCCTTCCATGTGCTACATCTCCTGTTTAGAGTATCCTTCCTCTAGGCTGCAAATGAAGGATCAGCATTCACTCCTCACGTGACAGCAACAACCGGTATTGCGACAGTTGGTACTGCTCTGAAACCAGGAGCCAAGAACTTTCTCCAGGTCCCCCATGCAGGTGCAGGATTCCAAGGCTTTGGGCCATCTGCAACTACTTTCTCATGGCACAAGCAGGATGCTGGATGGGAAGCAGAGCTGCCACGATTAGAATCAGCGCTCATATGGGATCTCAGCACGTTCAACATGAGGACTTTAGCCACTAGGCTAGCACACCAGGCCCTTTCCTGGCACTTTTACCACTCTAGACAGCACTGGATCTCCATACCAGTGCTCCTCCAATGCTCTTTGCTTAACCCACATATAGAAATTATGTTCCTGTCTTAAAATTACTTGTTCTTTTGATTCTAACATTCACTGGATTATTAACAGCATGAAGAAAGTGGTATTGTCTTAGCTATCACTTTATCTGTAGGGACAGCTAGTGCACAATGGCAAGTTCATAAATAACAGAATACATGAATAATTTTTAGGTTTAGCAATCTCAATAATATTAAATAGCATTGAGATTCAGAACTCAAAATATATCTACTATCACCTCTCATGTCCAGCTAATAAAAATGTTTTCTACTCAGAAGAAGCCAGCATGTGATGAAATTAATCTGGGGAATATTTTATACATAATACACTGTCATAGGACATAAAATGGTCAGTCACATGTTTAACCTCAAAGTTGCATTCTGGAGTCACAGGTTACTGTGCCAGTTCATTGACATACAATGAACAAAGAAGTGCTGAATTCAGAGTATATCAGCCACATCCCAACATGCATGGGGCCCGCAAGATGGATAATGGTTATGATATTTGTTCTTGTAATTAACAACATTCGATAGAGTCACAGGAATGATAAGTTGCATTTCTGTCCTTCTGAAAAAGTTTGCAAGGCAAATGCTCTAAATAAATGCTTCCATTTTGTTTTGTTTTGAAGTGTCTGGAAATATACAGTACATTTTGTTAGTGAGGTTATCCAAGAAGGTCAGAAAGTGCTTTTTATTTTTAGATGAGCAAAAACTTCAACCTTCAAAAGGACTGCTTGGGGATTTATGTGCATGACTCCTATTAGGAATGATGCACAACAGCCCATTAAAACTCTTTCTCAAATAATGAAAATGTATCCCTTGGAGTCCCTGTGCCAATATGCAAACTATACTTCATGAAATACTGCCATCCATGGAAAACACCAGCACAACTGGTGATAGGTTAATGTTCTGAAATCCCCCTTGACTTTTCTTTAATTAGCTGGGAGAAGCAGTAAAATCCATGAGTGGAAACTTAAAAATATTGGAGGAGAGGTTTAATAAATTGAAATTATTCAATTTACTAAATAAAATTTCACATTTCTTGCTTCCTTTTTTTCATAAAGAAAATATTACAGGTGAAATTGAAAACCCTTTGCTGCCCCAGCCAAATTTTTTTCCCCTACCTGCTTCCTTAAATCACCTTCTTAATATTGTGCAACCTCCATGTTTCCGATTTTGTAACATTTTTTCCACATGTTTCCAAAATAATACATCACTTTATGTGGCATATTTTTAGATGTTGAGTGAAAATATACCTCATACAGTACAGACTCTTATAGAATTCTTTCTGCTTAACATAGTCTTAAGAATATATCTCTTGTTTTAGCTAGAGCTAAATCACCTATTTTAAATGGTATACATTTACATTTTAATGATCTATTCATGATATATGTATATGTATGTATCATAGTGTCTTATGAGAATGACACGTGACTCTGTCTTCCAGGGCTAGACATTTCAATTGTTTCTAATGTGTCTCCATTGCAAACAATTCGGTAAAGAATAGGTATATCTTTGTACAAGTATTAGGACACTTAAAAGAGTCTGTGGAAAGTAGAATTCAAATATAAGGTTATTTTGGTGCAGATTATTTTGTAATAGTCGGAATAATTTAAATAATTTTCAAAAATTGCAAAAATTAATATTGTGAAAAACTATCCACAGATTCCAATTTTTTGCTCCCAAACCAGCTTCCTTCAAATATTGTGAAGTATCCAGGTATGTCTTTATAATAAATATACTTTTATATTTTAATTCTCATTTCAAGGAACTATGGAGTATGTAAGCAACCATAAATGTGTAAAAATCAAAGTTATCATCGTATTTTGAAGTAAAATAGCATTCCAGCAACAATAGTGAAATTACTGACAATTTTGATCATACGGTTCATGATCACTAATCATCAACAGGATGAATAATCACACATTTAAAAATTGTTAAGACTTATGTGATATTTACTGCACATCAAGTACTAAATTCTCAAAATGAACTTATAAATAAATACACTATTGATCTATTTTAAAGACAAAAAGAGTGAAGCTTGGAGAAGTTAAGTAGCTTGCACAGGATCACTTAGATAAATCAGTATTTGAATTCATGACCATCTGGTACCATCTTGTTTCTCACCTCTTTGGTTTGAAACAGTGTCATTGTCCTCAGCAGTCCTTCATTTCTCTTATGAGGGTCTTTACAACTCATCTGTCCAAACTCACCTGCAGGGCACCCCACTGTCAAGTTTCAGGGCTGCCTATCATGCAGGAGCTCCAATGTGTGGTCCCCATGGAACTGCCAAAGTCCTGTTGCATTGCTGTGTGTCCTCCACCCCTGAATCAGGCCATGGTCATGGTAGGTTCCTCACTGTCAATTCAGTATGAAGGATTTGATATATTTCTGCCTAATGCAAATCCAAGACAGAATCTCCTTTGCAAGACATGAACTAAGGCTTTAAATCAATTTCGTGGTTTTAACAAAGTCTAATTATAAAACTCACTATTCAATTCTATACTATGGATAGAAATTTTGAGCAAAACAACAATGGCTACACATGGTACGAGGCAAGGGTAGTGATGGCTAATAAATACTGACTGAATGAAGAGGGACTTGCTACACAAGAGTTGAAACACAATGTATGTTATGACTGGTAACCAAAAAAATAGAAGGGTCTTGATAGTCTTCCTGTTCAATGCCCAGTGGGTATCTGAGTAGATATTCAAAGAACAAGACAGCATTCTAGATGGATTCAACTAAAGCAATATGAAGCTTTATTATTCTCAGGACTGCATTCCTGAGATCTTTTGGGAGCATGATCCTTCATGGTGTTTTATACAAGAAGAAATGTCAGCACACATTACAAGAGTAAGGTGCAGAGGGCAAGACCTTTATTGGAAGAGACACCTTCTCTACATACAAACTGAAACCACAATGTCATCGTCTTTACCAGAATCTCAAGAGGACATATTTAAGGGTTAACCAGTGAAATTAAACTAATGCTTGTTTATTGTCTTTTAAAAGCTAAAATATAGCATTATGTGCTAATACGTGCTAATTATAAGTGAAATGAAAATGTAAAATTTTCACAGAAAGCATTTGAATCAATTGTGTTTTGTAATGTGAATCTGATAGAAGGATGGAATGCAAAAAGACTAAATAATAAAGGTTAGATTTTATTTTTTTTTTCTT